TTAATGCTGATCCATTGTGTTTTCCAGTTTTTTATTCTATAATTGCAACTTATTTACAAAGCAAATAACATCCTTCCTCTCGTGTTCTTGCTCTCTCGTGTTCCGCCGTTGTGTCAATATGTGTGTTACATATTTTGTATTCGTAAATTAAGGTATAGCAGCCCCTTTTATATAGCAGTACTCTACAACTACGCAATCACCTCCTGTAGACATACTGTACAGACGACAATTGCCACAAAATGGGTTACATCCACCTATAAGCATACGTCATGATGCTGACTGAAGGCTTAAAAGAAGGTGGTAAGGGATCAATAGAGAGGGGGAGAGAATGCTTTACTGGGGGAGGGGGGGGGGCAGGGTTTAACAGAAAGCAGTAAGAAATTAAAAAGGTGGTGAATATAGAGGGAGGTGGGGGTTTAATAAAGACGGGATGCTTATTGGGTGAAAGGCCTAAAAAGTTACGAAAGCCAAACAAACGACTAATCAATTGAGTACTAATTGATTGCACAGGTAACCAACAAATTGAGAATGAAGCAAGCAATCAAAGCAACGATCAAATTAACAACGAGCCGGGCGATCAAATTAACAACGAGCCGGGCGATCAAATTAACGAGGCGGGCGATCAAATTCAAGAAGGAAACAAGATAGAAACTCTTAAACAAAATGAAAGTGCACTTAACAAAAATATTGAAGAAAATTGGAATAGCAAACATGATCAAAGTAAAAACAGCAGTGAGATCTCGAGTGGTGAGAACTACAAAGTAACAAGCTATGGCACCGAACAAATCATTCGACAGCATAAATTCCACATTCATAGCTCATGGTTAGGCGTACAGAGTTCCTACTTCCGTTCCTTGTTTTCCTGTGGGATGAAGGAATCGAGTGCCACTGAAATTCATATTCAGATCTTGGCAAGCGAGGAGCAAGCTCACTTGAAGTTACTGGAAGCAATGTACAAGATCGATATTTTAAACACTTCCAGTGCCAACGAACTTCTCGAAGTTTTAAGACTTGCTCATAAATATGATGTCAAATTTGTTTTCAAGAAATGCAAATACTGCTTACAGGCTGCAGTGGTCTCTCATAAAATTTGTGAGAAGATTATGTGCTTTATTAAAGTTGATAATACGATCACCGATGTTGAAGATCTTGCAAGCACACTGCAGTCCTTTCTTGCAAAAGAATTCAGCCCTTTAGATAAAACATGGCAGACAACAAGTTTTCAAGAACTGTGCGAGCCATCAATACGGTATCTTCTAAGCAGTGATGAACTGGCCACAGAAAGTGAGAATACTATTTTTCATGCATTAATGTATTGGATCAAACAGCGTGGGCTTCCCCATCTCTTGGAATGTCAAAAGATCCCATCCCTGTTGTCTGTTGTAAGATTTGAATTGATTCCTATTGATTACCTATACAATATTATACAGCACCATTCTCTTGCGAAGAAGCTACCAGATTTCAATGAGCATTACTTAAGAGGGATCAGTTATCATGCTCTACCAGATTTCATGAAGAAACAGCTGCCGCGTCAACCAGTGAAAAGGAAAGCTAGTACAGAGTCATTCATTCCCTACACATGGGTGATACCAAGAGATGAGTTGGATGAGTTGGTCGGAACTGACGAATCACTCAAATCAGATGAATTTTGGTACTGTGGTTATAGAATGGTCCTAGTAATTAAGCATGTTGTCGGCATACCTTCGATGAGATACAACCTTAGTAGACACAGCAAATCAATTTCCAGTGCCACACTTTCCCTAACAATTACTGACTTAATTGAACAGAGTGAAGTTAAGATCCAATGGAAGCTAGCAAGTCAGTCTCTTACATCAAATTATTGTACAGAACACATATTTAAAAAACATGGATGTACGTCCAATGTTGATGTGGAATATGAAATGGAAATGAAGCCTGAAGAATCAACCGCCTATCAAACGAAAGCTAATGGCTGTGAATGTCCTTTTGCAGCTGAAGGTAGAAATAAAAGTGGTAGATCCCTTTCCCACAAAAGAAAGAAAAAGGCTAGTCGTTCCAAGTCTACGGCCTGCTTGTCTATTCAAGTGAAAATGAATCTGGTATAAAATGCATATTTTTAGTTGAGATGAACTCACAAAATGGAAGCTAGCAAGCCAATCTCCTCAGTTTTCAGTGAAGCGAACCAACTTATAGACCAAATTTGTACAAAGTACTAATAGACCAAATTTGTACATTGATTGATATGAAAACAAAACTGGTATAGAATAGAAAGTTTTGGCATGAGACTAGCCTGAGTATCAGGCATAGAAATATTAAATCTAGAATGCGTGCTCCTATCCTATCTCAGTTAAACAAGTGACGCCCATTAACTATTTAAACTCGCCCCATGACCTTACGCTATAGACCGCTCCACGGACAAATCCAACATGGCCGATTTATAAGGGCATTTTTGTTTTTGATACCGGTCACATGACCAAGCACGCATTCTAGGTCTAATATTTCTATGGTATCAGGCCATTTACTCTTCGTTAATTTCATTGGTGGGGAGGGTAAGAAGGCCTGACACAAATCTTTAATACCTGGCCGCATTAAAAAAGTCAAAGTCTGGCTTTTCATCTGATTGGTCTATCAAACAAAAAAATGTTGATCTTTTTGAATCGATAATGCTGAAATAAAGCCTGATACTATAGTTAATATGAGAAAAAAATTCATGATTTAACATTGATATTGTACTATGATATTGTAAAACTTAATGTGAATAGATGATAAAATTTACTAATGTTACTCGGACTCAGGGCAAGAAAGAGTATGATCCATGCCAGTGATATCTCCTAACACCTTCACATCGTTTAGAACAATTAGGGGATCATTCGCTCCCAACATTTGCTTCGTAGACAACAGCAGCTAAAGCCAAACGTTCACCACACTCATGTTACATTACTTTTACCTATCCTCCTGAATCATGTGCCGTGCTGACTTCTCCAAGCATGGTCGGTTACCTAGCTCTCAACCTTGGTCATTGAATCATAATCTATGGCCCGATAATGGGAGAAGGAGAAAATATGGTAGCAAAAAGACATTTGCCCGACTCACTAAATTCCATGTAAAATTATCAAAATTCTTGTCCATACAGGGGTGGGGGGATTTTCGAAACGTTTGAACTTTTTCGAAACCCTGCAGATTTCTTTCATTTTCGACCATTATCTCACATATTTCTTGCTTTAAAATGTCTTCCCCCCAGCTTTTTGCCCAACTCAGCCCCCCCCCCCACTGCTCCCCGCCTAATACGCTTACGACTCCACGGTTTTCTCTCGTCTTAAAAATACGTACTTGGTTGTGGAAATCGTGGAGCTCCACCAAAGCCGCCATGAGTTTCGTCAAAAGAACCACTCAGTTTAGTAAATAAACTTTCGATGCATTTCGTTTCAGGGGCTTTCTGTTGAGCACTCATAATCACATCCAGCTGTTGTTTGATTGCTGTCATAACCAAACTGCCTTGCATACCAAGCCGAGTCTGATTTTCTTTCCACTGAAAATTAACAAAGTCTGTAAGTTCACAAATCGCTGTACTATATGTTGTTTTCAACAGGAGTTTCAGAGCAGCTGTCTGGGAGGAAATCGGAGTACACGCATAAAAACGCACCAGTTGTAACAAACCTGTTGCTGTTCCAACAACTTGTCAACAGGATGTGTTCACACAACTTGTTCCCAACTTCTTAACAAATTTTCAACGGCTTCTCGACAACTCGGTACAAGGTTGTTGAGCTCAACATACTTGTAACAAGTTGTTCCAACAACTTGCTATCGTCCTGCAATTCAACAATTTGTCGACAAGTTGTGAGTGACAACCTTGTAGTAACTTGATACAATAACAACATTGTTACAACTTGTTGACAAGCTTGCTAAAAGTCTGTTGCGAACACATCTTGTTGACAAGTTGTGAGATTTTTACGTGTGTACTCGCAGAAAACCCACGATTTTCGGTAGAGCGTTGATCGACTCTTTTCAATAGATTTGATATTCCTTTTCTCGGCAACAAAGATGCCGATTATTCGTTTTAGTAACAAAGATATAACAGAATCTTTTCAAATGAATGTCATGAATCCACAGCGAGAATCGAACCCACAATTTCAAAAGTGAAAAGCGCTTGCTCTAAGGATTACGTCACTGAAGTTCTAATGACTACATGAATGCATACCTGTTTGACGAGGAACAATAAAATTGTCTTGAAGCCATGTCTTCCTGTACTGTCATCTGGCGGGAAGTATGTTCCACCCACAAATGGCTGAAGATCTGGCATTAACCAGACATTCATTGGCCAACCACCATGGCCTGTTGTTGCCTAGGCGGTAAACGAAGGAATTATTGAAAATTGCTGCATATTCAAATTTTGACAGACCAACATTATCTAGGAGCGAATATTTTAACATGCAAAAGACCTAATCAGCTTGGACTGAGCAGCCTATAGTCATCGGATGCGGGCCGGAGAACTTGGGGGGATAACTTTTATTAACTTTGTTGAGGAGAGGGGATAACTTGGGAGAGGGGGCTTTGGGAGAAACTTTCGGGGGGGGGAGTCGTGATTACCAGGAGGAGAGCAGATTTAAACCGAATGTTATTACCAAAAGCTTTCGTTGGTAGGGTAGTTGCATTCCTACCAACGGAAACTTGTTATTATTGGGACTACCTACACTGGCACAGGAAGTTCACAAATGTTATAATTTCTATCACCTGTACAAAATTCATGTAGACTCTATCCACATCAGGTCTTTCTTCACGGTCAACCTTGATTGGTACAAAATGTTCATTCAATATCTCAGCAATCTGAGCATTTTCGAACGACTCACGTTCCATCACATGACACCAGTGACACGTCGAGTAACCAACTGTAAGAAAATATCAAATTGGATGGGTGTGTCATTTACCTCTACGGCCGGGATTGTAATTATCTGATTGTAATTTTCCATTATATGGCTTAAAAACGTACGTAGCCTGCTAGCATCCTAAAATTTCTGGCTGGGAACAGCCTATGAAAACGGTGTTGAACTCAACTCAACATTGTTGTACTCAACAAAATTTTTTTGTTCAAGTAATTTTCAATGTTATAATAATTCTGTTTATGAAACTATAAACAATTATATCGGGGGTGAAAGGGAAATATTTTCCCCTGAATATTTAATATTCCTACCCCAAAAATTCCTAAAAAAAAAACTGTCAACGGGCGGAGGATTATTCATTCCAAGTTTTGCTCCAAAAATTCGTATTCCTACTATCAATATTCATATTCACACTACTTCGAAACCCAGTGTTCAATATTCATCTTCCATTCCCGAATTTATAATTAATTATTCCCAAAATTATGACGTTGTGGTTGACAGGACAATACTCCACCGAAATTTAATCAATTTGTCCTTGGGTAATGTACATTAGTCCCATAAGCGTTTGTGTTATCAAACAGAAAAATATTCATGCGCGCGAAACATGAGAATTTCAGCTAAATTTTTCTCGTCTTTGCATAAAGATTTAATAAGTTACATAACGATCAATGGCAAAGAATGGTTTGATAAATTAAAAGGCTTTTTTTTTCAATGTTAGTGTAATGTACTCAGGTGAATTTGTGATGTTACTCTGAGTGTATATCCACAGATTCCACACCGGGCAAGCTTGAAAAATATGCCTAGCCACGGTGGGAATCGAACCTACGACCTTTGGAACCAAAGGTTGTAGGTCGATTCCCACCGTGGCCAGGCATATTTTTCAAGTTTGCTCGGTGTGGATATACACTCAGAGTAACATCACAAGCATCAAATTAAAAGGCGTTTACACTATGCTTAGTTTTCGCCACGAAAAGAATGGTATCCCGTACTAAATTCACCCGACACAGACCGTGTCATTTGGATGCTCAGTAGAAACTTTGAAATGGAAACTAACTTAGTATTATTGTGTTTCACAGTTCAATACATTCTTCTGGAAAGTACGTCATCTTGGCTATGGAACCTCGTTTTCGTGATTGACACATTTATTATTATTATTATTATTAAAACTTTATTTAAAGAAGGTTAATTTACAAGGAAATATGCCAGTTTAGCTTTCGCTAATCTTCCACTGGACCTACAGACTACAGTATACATAATTACATAAAGTACATATCGATATAGGTATAACAAATTAGAATTAACATACACTGTACATATACGAGTTATTTTTATACATGTCCAAAAACAATTCATGGGCTTTACGCTTGAATGCTTGAAATGAGCTGGAAGATCTAATATCTGGTGGCAACCTATTATAAAAATATGCTCCAGTGTACCGAAGTCCACTCCTGTTTATTGTTAGTTTATAGTTTGGTATCCATAAGTCCATATTGGCAGTGCTTCTTGTATGTCGCTGGGAAATTGTTGACAATGGTTTGAACATATTACTTAAATAGTCTGGAGTCAAGTTATTTAAGGATTTATAAACTAGGCAAACTACCCTGTACATAACTCTGTACTTTATTGGTAAAATGTTTGACTGTTCGACATTACATTTGGCTTTAACTAATCTCACATGCACGAAAACGAGGCTCTATAGCCAAGATGGAGAGAAGTGTTCAGTATCAGAAAGCATTTAACACGAGTTCTTGGTCAGTTCCAACCAAATTATACAATTATAAGTAATAGCATAGAAAGAGGCGAATTAGCCTGCATGGCAGGCGGTATTTCTACGGGCAGCGAAAATTAGGGAAGCAAAGGAAATACCGTCTGCCGCAAAACTAGGGGTTTTTGAATTACCCGTCCTCTGGTGAACGGGAAAAACGGATTGGTTAGTATTTTTATGTAGTTGTCAATCAACGGCTAAATTCGGTTAAATGTTAATCATTAACCAAATGTTTTGACGTTTTGAAACTCTACGTTTTGAAATTAGTTCACGTCAAGTCAGACCAGAAATGGAATAACATAATAAAAGAAGCAAATTAAAAGATACAAGCTGAAAAATAACACTCTAAATAGTGTTATTGATAGGGATTCGAACAAGAATATTTAACAAAGAAGATACGTCCGAAGGGGCCGAAGTTATGATCGGCGAAAGGTATGGGCTAGTCTATATTTTCGTTCAGACAATTACATTCGTATTAATTTGATAATATACTATCTCGCTTGACTTTCAAAGGCCCATAAATCGCAATAATGTTGACATTTTACTAAAACTATCGATAGAAATTAGGAGATATTTCTTCACTGAATCGAACAGTGGGATTTCCATATAGGCCTATCAGTCATGTTCTGAACCAAAGATACGTGATAGATATTATATACGAACCTCCAAAGTATAAACAAGGGGCCGGTTGATGCAGTAATTATCAAATAACAGTTAAACTCTTATATACCCGTTGAAGATGTAGTTGTAAACAAATAAAAACTATCGTTCTATAAGGTTCAATACTTTTAGTTTGGTTGTTGACTGATGATGAATCTTAATAGTATAGACTTGCATGCTTAATTGTATTTTGAGCTTATTAAACCACCGTTTTAAGGCAGCTAAACGGCTAAACGGGCTTGGTTTATATTAACACATAAAATAAATTCCTTAATTCTCATCACTAGACACAGTCTA